ACACACACAACACACACACACACACACACACACACACACACACACACACACACACACACACATATATATATATATATATATATATATATATGTGTGTGTGTGTGTACGTATGTATGTGTGTATATATGTATGTATGTATGTATGTGTGTATGTATGTATGTGTGTATATATGTATGTATGTATGTATGTATTTACGTGTTTATGTATAAGTGTATATATGTATGCATATATTCTTGCCCATCGCTATTTAATGTCTCATATTCTTCCTACCTGCTTGGTACCAAACCAAGCCGTTAGTACGTCGCATTGTTGGCATAATCCCATTTTGTACTACACATCAGTTTAACTACAAACCATTCACACTCATACTCCTCCTTTATCACATTACACACACCACAGTCTGATCGTACAGTATGGCTTGTATAAGCACATGACATGTGTAGAGCCCCAGAAGGCAACCAAGCAGGAGATGGCGGCCTTTCACACAGACGAGTACATTAGCTTTCTGGAGAGTGTGACTACCAAACCCATTGCAAGTGATGCCGCTAAGCTGTACATGCACAATGTCTTTGAGGACTGCCCAGGTGAGATATAGGGCTACACCGAAGGTGTAGTAAGCATGTGTGGTATAAATGTATATATAAAGTGTATGTATATGTGTAGACGTGTGGTATGAATGTTTATGTTAAGTGTATGTATATGTGTAGACATGTGTGGTATGAATGTATATGTTAAGTGTATGTATATGTGTAGACATGTGTGGCATGAATGTATATGTTAAGTGTATGTATATGTGTAGACATGTGTGGTATGAGTGTATATGTTAAATGTATGTATACGTGTAGACATGTGTGGTATGAATGTATATGTTAAGTGTATGTATATGTGTAGACATGTGTGGCATGAGTGTATATGTTAAGTGTATGTATATGTGTAGACATGTGTGGTATGAATGTATATGTTACGTGTATGTATATGTGTAGATATGTGTGGTATGAATGTATATATTACGTGATATGTATATGTGTAGACATGTGTGGTTAGAGTGTGTATGTTAAGTGTATGTATATGTCAACCACTCCTACACACTCACTTCGTCTCAACTGACAGAGTTTCCATGCACCATCGATATTGGTTCATACACACTCTGTTTGTCTCTCCCCAGCGTTGCCTGAATTGTATGAGGCTGTTGTGTATGTATCTGTGGTTATATGTACCATCCCGCTCACCACATACACACACACACACTCTCTCTATTGGTCTCTCCCCAGTGTATGTGTCTGTGGTTACACATACCATCCTCATCACCACACTCGCTCACACATACACACACACCCTCTCTCTCTCACACTCCCGTCTCTCCCCAGTGTTCCCTGGGTTGTATGACTTCTGTCGCTCTTCGGCTGGTTCGAGTATTGGCGGTGCCGTAGCTCTCAACTGTCGTGACAGTGTCATTGCGATCAATTGGAGTGGGGGCCTACACCACGCCATGCGCTCAGCCGCCTCGGGCTTCTGCTATGTGAACGATATTGTTCTGGCTATACTGGAGCTGCTGAAGTAGGTAGACTGTAGTTATATATA